ATGTATTAGTGCAAAGGAAAACAAGAAGGCCAGAAAATCACCATATGATAAGCATGGTGTTTCAAATCAACTGCAGATGTGATGGTTTATTTAATAAATGATCCTGGGATAAGCAGACATAATCTAATAATTAATAAAATCTATCATCCTTTGTGGGTGTAATCACTGCACAATTTCTGAGATGTATCATATTGTCAGGGAGTATCTGCACAGTCAGTTTGGAAGCATGTGCTGAGAGGTGATTTTGGAAGCTTATGGTTTATTGAGAAGGGTGCATTAATCCTCTAACAGCAATTTTTCACTAATTCTTTTACATAATTTGAAGCTGTATTGTTGGGTGCTTGTATGTTCATGATAAATATCTCTTCTTGCTCTATTGTTCCTTTTTCTGGTATATAATACCTTTTCTTTTTTTATAAGACATTTTTTTGCCTTGAATCCTATTTTGACCATATATTAAGGAGTTGTCATAACTTATTTTTGTTCATATTTGTCTTGTGTATCTTTCACTATCCTTTAATTTTAATCCATTTTGAATCCTTTTGTCATAAAAGTTTCTTTTGTGGAATAGACATTGCTGGATCACTGAAAATACAATCTGATAGTCTTGGTCTTTTAATTGGTGACTTTAACTAATTTAAAATTATTTTAAAGCTATATAAGTTTTTATCACTGCCATCATTTTTCACGTGGTGCATTCACTATATATTTTTGGGGTCTTCTTTCCTACTTTGCATTCAATGGACCAGGTTCTCTTTGGCTAGTTTAAAAGTTATTCATTTTTTTTTGTTTTTATGTAGGTTTTCTTAACGTAAAAAGCCAGACACCTATGTTCATTTATTCCTATTAAATATGAATATAACAAACATCTATATATACCAACTACCCAGTTAGAAAATGAAACCTTAGGAAAGAAAACCTTGGTAGAATCTACCTGCATATCCCTCTTCATGACACTTCCTTCCCATCCCCTTAAAGTTAATCACTCTTTTGAATGTGATCCTTATAATCCCTGTACATGGCTTTGTATTTTTACTACATATATGTATCCTTAAATTATGTATGGTATCGTTAAGCATGCCTTAAACTCAAAACAAATGGTATCATCTGGTATGCATCCTTTGCAACTTGCTTTATTTTGCACGCCACATTATGTGTGAGATTTATTCAAAGTTGCTACATATATTTATATTCAGTGCTGTGTAATATATTATGCATATCCATTATATGAATAAACCACAATTAATTTCTCTAAGGTGTACACAGAAGGCTGGAACAGAGACAAAACGAACATCATTTAAGATGATTTTTTTTTATTTCAGTATATTACGGGGGTACAGATGTTTAGGTTATGTATGTTGCCCTTGCCCCCCCTACCTGCTTAAGTCCGAATTTCAAATATGTCCATTCTTCGGGTGGCTTTAAGATGATTTTAAGAAGACAAAGTGTAAATGATCACCAAAATATTTGTAAAAAGAAACAAATAAATTTGACAAATTGGACATTCAGCAAATTGACCTAGAGCCCAATAAGAGGAAAAACAAGCTGTGGTAGCAAAAACAATTCTATCTACTCACATCCCCTGTATTAGTCTGCTCAGGCTGCCATAACAAAATACTATAGGCTGAGTGGCTTCAATAAGAGAAATTAATTTTCTCACAGTTCCGGAAACTGGAAGTTCAAAATCAAGGTGCCATCAAGATTGGTGTCTAGTGTGGCTTCTCTTCCTGTCTTGCAGATGGCTGCCTTCTCATTGTGTCCACACCTGGCCTCTTCTCTGTTCGCATGCACATAGAGAGAGAGAGCAGGTGCTCTTGTGTCTGTTTCTTAAAAGAACACCAGTCTCAAAAGAATACCACTCCTATGAGACTAGGGCCCTACCCTTATGACCTCTTTTACCTCCCTAAGGGCCCTGCCTCCAAATACAGTCACATTGGGAGTTAGAGCTCAAATATAAATGTTGGGAGGATACCATTCAATCCATAACACCCCCAAATGGTATAAATCCAGGAGCTGTAATTGCTGAAGATTAAGCCCTTGGACAATTTAGCTTAAAGAAATCAAGCCAGAGGGAACCTGAGAGTTGACCACAAACATAAAGGGAAGAAGACAACTTCATTAATTGACTCATTCATTCAATAAATATTTATCGAGTGCTACCTTGTGCCAGGCACACTGTTCTGCATGTTGGGAATATTGCAATTAACAAAATAGCCCTATCCCTGCCTGTGTGATGCTTGCATTTATGGCTGCAAGGGGTACAAACAGCAAACAAATAAGCAAAATATATAGGATGGTAGGAGGTAATAATTAAGTGAGCAGTAAGGAGAAGAAAATTAAGCAAAGAAGAGGGATAGGGTATGTTGGTGGGGTGCAATGATGGAAAGGATGGCCAGTCTATCTTCATGTTTGAGTAAAGATCAAGAGGAGATGGGGGCCATAGGATGAGTGTTCTTCACAGAGGTACCAGCACATGCAAAGACTGGCAGTGGTTGAATGTGGGAGATAGAAGTTGAGGAAGAGTAGAAAGGCCATTGTGTGGGAGTATGGGGAGTAGATGAGGCCGGGCAGGTAATGAGGATGGTGAGGAGAGGAGGGGAAGATCAGCTTGGACCTTGTATGCCACTGCAATGCCTCAGGTGTCTGCTCAGTGAGACAGGGAGTCATTGGAGTGTTTTGAACATTAGAGAGATGTGGTCTGATCTATTTAATACCTTTTACAGTGATGGTGGAGCTATTGTGTTGAGTGCAGATTGAAGGTGAGAAAGGGACATACTTCTATGTGATCCTGAGAAAATAATTAGAGTCAGCATGTAGAAGGGGCTGACTTTTCTAAATAACTAGCTAACTCCCTAATTAACCTAATTAAATGACTGTCCACCAGTGAAACTGGCTTAACAGTCATTCGGGAGTTACACTGAGCAGCTTGTCACTGGCGATCTCAGAGGCTGCTGGGGATGTTGATGCTGGGAAATTCCTACATTGAAAAGGGCATCAGACCATATGACATTCCAGCTTTCTTCCAGTACTGAGGGTCTGTGGTTCCACAGCATGTATTATCTCCATCTCCTTCAACTAGAATGTGAGCTCCTTGAGTGCAGGGAGTTTTGTCCCCTCTGTTCTGTTCATTGCTCTATTCCCAGTGCCTAGAATAGGTCCTAGCATATAGTAAGCACTCAGTAAGTATTAACATTTGTTAGGTGTATGAATGTGTCTGTTAAACTTATTGCTGGACCTTGAACAAGACAATCCTGTGCACTTCACAGAATATACCAGTTGGATTGGATGGCACAAATGACCTTCTAGGTTGGCTGGTCGGTGATCCCCATTTAAAATCTGAGCCATCTTTTCTAAAGGGCTTTGCAGGCCAAGGGGCTCAGGGAGGGGCTCTCATGGGGCTGAAAGGCAGGGTTGGGGAATGGGTAAACCTAAGTCCAGGAAAAGTGCATGGATAACCTCTGGAGCTGGGGACCAGGGTACTCTGAAAATAAATGTGAATTGTCTTCTTTGACACTCACAAAGCTCTAACTTCAATGAGGGATGTTTTACTAGAGACTGAGGGTACAAGACACTGAGAATCTATCCCACGTGTGTTGCCTTTGCTTCAAATGAGTTAGCCTGGTCAGCAAAATGCTTATGGGCCCCTGAAGCTCTCCTGGGAAAAACAGCAAAACAGCAGCAGAGATTCCATTTAAGGGTATCGAAAATACATTTTTAATTTTGATGAAGTTCACAAATGACAACTTTGGCATTTCTTTAGACAAACAGTTCCACCAAGGCACAGCATTGCCATATGTCCCCAGATGCCCAAGAGACAGTGATTTCATGTCCTCCTGAGATTTAACAGAGCTGCCAATGTTAACGGGATGGGTGACAGGGCCCAGATTTGCTACCAGATATGCCAATGAGACACCCTGTCATATTTATTGGATACAGAATGAAATATGGAAAAGATACACTATAGGTAACTGCAATGAGCTTATTCTGCATTTAGCTTTAGTTCCTTGCAAACAAAGAAGATAATTTTCAATACCAAGAAGGATGCAAATATGTATGTCTTCCATGAAGCCTCTCCTACAAATTGCTTTCATTATACATTAAAAGATGTAGAGTTTGGCTTCATTGCAATCTAGAAGGAAAAGAAAACAGCAGCTAGAGTTTAATTACTGATTAATTGTCAGACTCTCGATATCTATCATTTCATTTGCTCTTTATATTAATGCTAGGAGGTGGGTACTTTTGTAGCTCTCAATTTACAGATGGGGAAACTGAGGCTCAGAGAGAGTTAAGTGACTGGTCCATAGTGATATAGCTAGTCTCAAGTCTATGCTCTTAATTCAGCGGTACACAACATTGTAATGTATGCTGTAAAAGGTTACCGTCATTATCTTTCAAACTCAAGTGCTAGAATAATCACAATTACAACGATAAAGAACAGTGTTTGAAATAAAATACTCCCTCTTAGGAAAATAAAAGTTCCTCAGTCTTACCTGGAAGAGGAACAGAGTGGAGTCTGCAGCATCCAGTCCCAGAAGTGCTTACCTGATTGTTAGCATCCCTGTTCTTGCTGCTTGAGCTCGGTCACAGGGACCAACCACCATACCCTGTGTCCTGCTACCCTAGGGTTAAGGCTACTTCTAAGTACAGGTCCTAGACACCATGAAGCCTGGATTATGGGCTAGAGCAATGACCACCACCACTCGGGTCTTTTTAGAATAATAGCTTTATTCCCCAAATGAACAGCACATTCAGAAGTAGGATAAAGAAGCTCTGCTATGATATCCTCGGGGGGCTCAGGGATGCCCTTGCTCTCTGATCTCTTCTGGGTGGTTCTCTCCCAGCCTGTGAGTCCTGCTCTTTCTTTTCCCACCTGAATTTTAGACATCCTCAGCCACAAGGAAAGCCACTGATAAAAGCCCTAAGAGCAACCAGAGAGGAACCACATGCATCAAGTTCGAGGAAGGAAGCCAGAAAGGAAATTAGAAAGGAGGGGGAGGGGTTTAGTCGGCATCCAGGGACCTGCTGACATGAGGGCGGTGGTCTCTCTCCAAGTGTCTGGCCATATCTCTTTTCTTTCCAGGTGATCCAGGGCCAGTATCAGTTCGGTTGGAGTTTTTTAACTTGTGGAGGTCCTGTATGAAATTGTCCAGCAGGCAAGTACTCAGATTACCGCACCCCCCGGTTCTGGCGCTGTCCACGCTGCAGGGAAAAGACATGCCAGACATTACCATGCACCAGGGGCGGCGCCGTGGACAGTCACTCAGAAGATTGGAGCAGGCTGGGGGGCAGCTCACACATCCTCCATCAGGAGAGCTCAGAGGTTCGGTGGGCAAGGGCAGTGTGGGGAAGGGCTGGGTGGGGAAGGGTGACCTTTTCTGGCATTCCATATGCTGTTCAGTCCTACATGCTCAGCAGGGGTTTTCGGGGTGGATACAGGTGCAACATATGCCTCTACCCAGGCAGGGCTGGGGCCAGGCTGGTCTCTGCTCAGGCTCAGGCTCAGGGAGCATGGGAGGGGGTGCCGGGAAAGGTACCCACGCTGGCCGGGTGAGAACATGCACATCTCCATGGATGTTGCAAATCCGAGACCCAGACCTACCTCCCACACTGCTCTACTTGATCCCCACCCCCTGCAAGGGCTTCACTTTCACCTTGCAAATGTGAGATGAAGGCTCCTCGCAGATGTGAAAGAATGTCATCTGCAGATAAACAAGGTGGAGCCAAATTTCTAAAATCTGAGATACACCAGGTCTATCCACTTCATCCTTACCAGTCTTAAGTCATGCGATGCTAGGAGGTCTCGCCTGTACTGCAAGGGGAATTCCTGGAGTGAGCCATTCCACATCTCCCCATTTCATTTTCTAACAGCTTTCAGAAATGGAGTTTTTTAATGTGTCTAATCATAGTCCTTCCAGCTGTACCAGGACCTCTGACTCCCATGGAACCCGAGATTGGCTGGGCCCCAGGTCCTGGTGGACAACTACAGCCTGCTGGACCCTGGCCAGTGTGTTCTCTCCTGACTGGGCTACGCCTTCCTGAGTGTGAAGAGGAGAGAAGGCCCTGTGCTGGGTGGCGTGGGGAACTTTACCTGGAGTCCTCTGTCTCCGGCTCCTGTTCCAGGTCACCAGCCTTCATCTGCACGTAGTCCTGCGCCAGTGCAGCCAGTAGGCGGCGCGCTTGCTTCTTACTGAGCATATCCAGTCCTGGGATGCTCTCCAGGTTGGACCTGGGGAGGGAAGCAAACCCAATGCAGGCTGTGAGCTCCTGCCTACTCTCTCCCCTGGATATGCAGCCAGGCTTCCTGGTCCTTGACTCCTCCTTTGAGGAGGTGACCAACCCAACTCCCAGTGACAGGGCAGGAGGTCAGTGTCCTCAACAGGAGCCAGGCACTGGTGTGGTCTCCAAGCAGTGGTGTGCTGGAGCCAGTTGATAACAGGCTCATGAAAGTTGATGCTTAAATTTTCAGGAACCTTGCAAGCTGAGTGTTAAGTGAAACAAACCATTATTAAAAATTAAATGATGAAATTCTGAAAAAGATTTCAGTTTAATAAATTTGTATGTGGGTGACAAATACATTAACAGATCACATATTAGATTTAATGACACCAAGTTTATTGGTAAACTAGTTAGTAGATTAGGATGCAATTCATTTCTGAAGTCAAGGCTGAATTGGATAAACTAGTTCAGCTACAGATACAAGTTTGGTAAAAAGCAATGAAAGCATTTTGTAAGACTAAGTGGGCTATATGAAATTTATGGTAAAGAATATTGTATACCTTAGTACTGTTTATAAATTGTGTGCTACACACCTTTAGATCAGAACAATTTATATATGTGTATTTATATGTACATACATACGTGCTGCTACCCCTCAATTGCCCCTGCCCCTGGATTTTAATCGTTTGGCACAACACACCAAAATTAGGATGCAAGCAATTGTTTGATCCAAGGAGCAGTGGGAGGGAAGTGTGCTCCTGGCTTCGGGCTGTCTTACCGGAATGGCACTGCCTGGAGGCTGCCCACCTGGTACAGGACCAAGATGCTGAGAGCTAGGATGAGGGAGAACTTCTGGAAGCCCATCATGCTCCTCTGCAAGGGAAGAATGATGTCACTTCCTGCACCAGTTCCAAGCTCTATGAAACCACATACGTGGACTCTTGTCCTGTTTCTGCCCTGTCCCTATCTCCCTGGGTTTGTGGCTTTAGAGTGGTCATTACATTTCTCTTCATCTTTATTTCCTCATCAGCAAAGTGACTGCTGGGAGGTCTGGTGGGCCTGTAGCATGCAGTTTGGCCAAGCTGAAGGAGCGTTCCTAGCAGGACAGCTGGGTGCGGGATCCCCTACAGACGCACACACATACACACACTGGAAACCCACAGACGCGCACACACACACACACACACACACACAAACACACAGAAACACACACACCCCTCAGTCAGGTCTCTGTGGAGGACACTCTGGGATCTCCCTATCACATCATCTGCTCTCATAACGAAACCCAGAGCTGTCCTCCTCGGGGCTATTGCACACACCTGGGTGGGGGAGAGAAAGGGGATATGTAGAGAGGGAATATCTTTCCCATTGGAATCTCTGAGAAACAGACGAAGCAATTTTAGTGCTCAGCTGCTCTGCCCTCTGGAAACTCAGTCTCCTGCAAGAACCAAGCTTAACAGAGTCTTACGTTGGGATCTCAGACTTCTGTCTGTGCTCCCAGAGCTGGTGACTGGGGCTTGCAGTTTAGGGCTGCCTGCCCCTGTGTCATTGCACCCATTTGCCACCCATTCTCACTGGCCCAGGTTCTGAACCAATTTTCCGGGGACCCGTAGGCTCCAGACGCGATCCCTGGATGCACCGTCTGCGGAAAGCAACTCCTGAGTTCTGCTCCGTGCATGGTGCCTGGGACCCCTCAGTGTGGGGAGATTGGCCCAAGCGCGTGTGCAGGAGGAGAGAGTGAGAAGTCCGAAGCTGCGCAGGAAGAGCGGAGCATGGCGCTCCCAGAACAGAAGGAGACTGTCCACTCCTACCTGGGACAGAAGCCTGGTGTGAATCGCTGACTAACAGAGACTGCAAGAGATTGAGACAGAAGTGGACAGAGAGACTGAAAGTCGCAGGGAGACAAACTAAGAGAGACTAATGGAGAGAGAGGGAGGGGAGGCGAGAGAGAAGTAGAAAGACACACCTGAGCAGAAATCTGAGGACTCACCTGGTGGACAGAGACTTGCAGCAGGGACAGCAGCAGCGATGCTTCGGTTCAGCGAGGGTCCCGGGGAAGCAGCAGGACTCTTGGTCTGGGCAGTGGCTCTGATGCCTCCCAGAGCCAGTGGCTGCTCTTATTCCCCTGCTGTGGGTCGGGAGGGGTCCCTGAGCGCCAGGCATCCAATGAGAGAGGGCTCCTGTGCCCCAGCCAGATTTCATCATTACCCCCATGCTTCTAGAACCTGAGGATTCAGTCAGGTGGCCCGACTTGTGTTTGCATTGAGGTCATTGGTGGAAGTGTGTGTGGGGGATGGTGGGGAACAAGGAGAAACGCCCTTAAAGTGAGCAGGAATTTGAGTGCCGTTTGATGTCATGGTAGATTTCACCTCCAGTCCCACTGGGTTTTGATCCTGTGCCCCACTCCACCCCCAGCTGTGGGGCTTGGAGGGCAAGGTCCAGGATTGTAGGGACTCCTGGCTCCCCCAGGTCTGACCCCAGACCCTTGCCCAAGTGAGGCTTGAAGGGTTAACGTGCTGCAGGGTGGATTCCAGGTCCAAACAGGCTGCCTGATGCTGGCAGCTGGTATCACCCACAGAGGGCCAGGGCAGGAGATGCAGCTGGAAGTAAGAACTTTGTTAGCCCTGAGCTCAATTCCACCTACCCCAATTCCAGATGTTGGGATCATGGGCGAGTAACTTCTCAGAGCCTCAATGTATCCATCTTTTCAATAGGGACCATAGTCCCATCTTGAAGAAAGGTTTTGAGAAATATCCCAGTGCCTGGCCGACAACTAGGCAAGGATCTAGAAGAGTTTCCTGGTCCACATACAGGATTCCGTAAAAATCTCCATTGATATGAATCCCCACCTCGCCTGACTGCTTGCACTCAGGTTGGGCGGTCAGGGTGCTGTTCAGGTCTGTTACAAGTGTGGGGAGGGGGCCAATGCCCAGCTGGGCCTGAGGAGTGAGGTGCAAGGGACAGATGCTTCCCAAGCCTCCATCCAGACTTCCAGCCCGCCCCTCACTCTGCCACCCATCCCCTCGCATTCAGTCCGCCTGCCCACATCATTGGCACAGCTGCCCCTTTGCTTCAGGCTGGTGTTTGTCAAGATGTCCAAGTAGCATTGGCTTCTGCCCCAAACCCCGCCCCTGCACTCCTGTCTTCCACTAAAGGACAGGCAAGCTTGACAGTGGTGTGGAGTCCCTGCCTGGACTAAAACTCACGCTCACTTCCAGTCTCAGTCATGCAAACGCGTAAACTCACTACTGTCTCCAAACGTGCCCACTCCGCCAAGCAGGGAGACACAAAAAACAGACACTGGCTCACGGGGGTATCCTTAGGGGTTCACTCTCAAACGTGCGGCAAGCCTGCCTCTGAGTCTCTCGTGCAGTGGCATCCACACATCAGCGTGATGATAACCTGCTCACATCATTCCTGCACACACTCTCAACAAGAGGCGCGCCCCAGCACACCCATCACACTGACACCCAGCCCAACCTGGCTTCAGGACCGCTCTGCCTGAGCGTTCAGCTCCAGGAGCGCCCAGAAGGGGTGGTCGGGACGAAGGCATTTGCTGCCTGCAGTGGCTAGGGAGAGCAGAAAGAAGCATGTGGGCATTCCTGGGATGTCTGGGTCTGAGAGTGCAGGGCTCAATCCTCATCAGCCTGTCTGGAGGCTGCCAGTGTGGTGAGCGCCGCAGAGGCATTCGGAGCTGTGCGGGGAAGCGAAAACCCAGGCTTTGTGGTTCCCTGAGACAGAGCAGAAATTAGCCCTCAGGTGTGCTGTGAATGGCCCTAGCCTGGGAACTCCAGGTAGCCCCGGGTCCAGTCCACACCCCAGACCTCAGTCTCCAGAATCAGCTATTTCCTAGTACACCTTCCTGGTGCTACATCCCTTTACCCTTCCGGGTTGGTGACCTCCCTGCTCAAGGAGGCAGCAGGAATGGCTAACTTCCCAGATGCCCTACATTGATTCTCCCTCTCAACTCCCGGGGCTGGGGGCACTTCTGCAAGGCAATAAAAACTCGGGGCTGGGACTGAGTGTCCCAGACTGGTTATTCCCAGGCCCGCCGCAAGGGGGCCCAGGACTCCGGGGGCTGGACCAACCGCCCTGGGAGGACGCTGGCGCGATAGGCACAGAGAGAGAAAGGGGAGCTGTGCTCCCGGCAGGAGGCAGGATGGCGGATCGCGGGCACAGTGAGCCCTGGAGTCCCTAGACAGACACCCACTGCTGAGACCGAGTCCGCAGCTCTGGGGCTTTCCCGCGGTTTAGGTTCCAGCCCTCGCCTGATCTTTTGGTGCCGAGTTGTGAAGACCGCAGCGCGGCCACTAGTGGTGAGCGGTGCGCGGTCCCCTGCCACTGGTGCTGCTGCAGAAGCGTATCTGCGCTCAGTTACCAAATACGTCTGCGGAAATGACTTCCTTTTTCAAGACCGGAGGTTTCTAACATAGGAATCTCCTGAAATCGTTGGTAAATCGTTGCTTCTAAAGAGGTGTCTGCGATGTGCTTTTTCCTAAGGAGAGAACTCATGGCTTTCACTCATGCAATGGTGACCGCAAAAAGTTCAAGGAAGCGGCCATGCCAGTGCGTGGGTTCGAACTATGCCCCTGGGTGTGTGTGTGCCTTCAACCTTGAGAACAGACACCAATTCCTCGCTATGAAACCTGTGGCGGTTACAAACCCCAGGCTGGTGTTGTGGGGCGCTAACCAGACTCCGCACCCAGAGGGCGCTAGTGGAGCCTGGAGCAATTTCAATCTTTACTTCAAAGGTTCTTCTCTCCGGAAAGGGAGGGAGGGAGATTAACTCATTCAAGCGCTGGAGATTGTAGGAAGTTCCTGGCGTTTTGCTTCAGGCAAAAGTTAAAAAAAAAACTAAAAACCCTTTTCTTTGATGATTAGCATCATGCCTGGCACACTAGTAGGTGTTTTGCCAAAGTTAAATGAGTGAAAATTAATTCATTCTGGCAAATTCACCAGGTGATTTCACAAGCAACCAGCAGAAAATCCGGACCAAGTTATGAGTGGAATTCCGCTTGTGTTCCGCTACTAGGAGCGCAAACTCTTCCTCCTCCCATTTGATTTGGCACACCAGAGCCGGTTCCCTGATAGAAACTTCCAGGAATGACGCAGGGAGGTGAGGGCTTTCTCTAGGGTTCTTTCTAAAGACTAGAGTCTCCAAGTGAGAAATGCAAAGCCATTCTGTGAGCCTATCCCCATTTACTGAGTGAACTGAAGGAAGTTTAGAACTTCGCGTTCACTAATTGCTTAGGTTTCCTCCCACTATCCCTGGAACTTCCTGTATTTTTGGACTAAACAGTATGATATAACAAAAGTCGCTAAGAAAATTGCTGATTTAAAATTAGGCATTTGACTATTTGGCCCTGGTTTTACTGTCTTATTTCATAACTTTTAAATCTGGAAATCAGGGTCAGTTTTGAAACAATGTAGTTTGGAAAAAATATTTTTACAATGTTCTGAGAAATTCTAACTCTATTGTTTATTTCCATTCGTTTAAATCAGATTCCAGTACTCTTTGATTTAGAAATAAAAATAAGAGATGGGCGTGGTGGCTCACGCCTGTAATCCAAGCGACCAGGGTGGCCAAGGCTGGAGCATCCTTTGATGACAGGAGTTGGAGAGGAGTCTAGGGGACATAGTGAGACACGCTCGCTTTTCTAATAAAAAAGAAAAAGAAATTAGCCATGCGTGGTGGCTCAGCACCGTAGCCCCGGCTAGTCCTGAAGCTGAGGCAAGGAGGATCACTTAAGCCCAGGAGTTTGAGGCTGCAGAGAGCTAGGATTCTGCCACTGCACTCTAGCCTGGGTGACAGAAGGAGATCCAGTCCCAAAAGATGAAATCTGTTTGAAAATACTTACATGAAT